GATTTCTGTGAATCGCGTTCGTTCTTACCGCTAATCAAAGCGGTTGCGGTCGGAAAATGTAAACAGTAAATAAGGTGCTATTTTTAGAAACAAAAGACGATTAGGGTCTTATTAATTAAGGAAATTAAAACAGGATTAAGATACAACTTCGTGCCTTGTTTTTGCGTCACAGGAGAGACTTAGAACAAAAGAAAATGTTTAATAATAAATTAAGCTGTTAAAAGTAAGGGAAGTAAATATTATAAGTATTTCCAACACTCACACCAATTAGCCTAGCCCCAAAGTAAGCACTGTAAGGTTTCTGTTATGGGATACTAGGGTAACAACTCCCTATAGTTTTCAAGTCATATCTTCCACGCACTTTTTTTTGACGAGCATCTTTATATGATTCCGCCGTAATGTCCCTTAAGCATAGGAGATCTCTATAGAGATTAATTTAGTTCGCTAGTAATACCGCGTTCGCGCGACTCTGATCTTCATCATCATCATCATCAGCCTATTAATGTCCCCACTGCTGGGGCACAGGCCTTCCCTATGGATGGAATAGGGAGATTGGTCCATGACCCACCACGCGGGCCCATTGCGGATTGGCGGGTGCTAACGACTGCAGATACAGCCGGGTCCAACGGCTTAACGTGCCTTCCGAAGCACGGAGGAACTCGAGATAGAAGATTTTTGGCCACCCATCCAATGACCGACCACTGCGAAAGTTGCTTAACTTCAACGATCGCAGCCGAACTCTGATCTTCGGACGACATTTATTACATGCATATGTGCGCACCCGCTGACTGCCACAGCGCAACCGTCTTTGGTTGGATGTAATCCGCTGGCCAAACGGTTGTAATCCACGCGCTCCAACCGCGGATGTAAACACGCGCCCGTAATCCAAGGACGTTGCAGGTCAAATCAAAATTTGGATTACATCCTTCGTCTAGACGGATGGCAACAGGCAAGGTCACCTTGGTTGGTACGTTGGATTACATCCGTCTGGCATAGGTCTTACATCCGTCTAGAATAGGTCTTAACGGATAGAATATATATACTGTACATATATAAGTATATTTATATCGAAATACATATTATACATTCATGACTGGAGTACTCTCGATATTCATTACACAAACATCTGCCCCCACCGGGATTCGAACCCAGGACCTCTCGAGTCGGCCACACCATGAAACCCGGGGTAAATATGGGGTGAGAGTTAGGCAACGAGCAAGTGACACTCAAGTTTCGCAAGCGTCGACAGGTTTTGGTGGTTGCTTGCTGTTTTGACATGATCATCATCATCACCAGCCTATTAATGTCCCCACTGCTGGAGCACAGGCCTTCGCTATGGATGGAATAGGGAGAATGACGAATCCAATGACGGACCACTGCGAAAGTTGCTTAACTTCAACGATCACCGCCGAACCCGCTAACTTATAGACGGGCTAAGTCTCCATCGAGCTTATAGACTATAACGTGATAACGTCTTATAAATCGATGAAAACCGGCTGCACGCACGAAAAAGTGTGACGTCATGTCACGTTGTCACGAGTTAGTTCAACGCTCCGCGGTGAGGTGAGGTCGAAGGGTTCCATCGACCGCTCCCCTCTGACCGTTATTTTCTGTGATATTCTGGAAGGTGGAGGTTACTTCCCCAGACTGGTGCTCCAATTTAAGCGAAAAATCTGCTATGTCCTACCTCTCTTAACATTGCTTACATTCAGACGGGCCATATACTTGATAGCTACGGCGAAAGTTTGTGAGTATGTATGTTTGTAACTGGAACTGGAACATCACAAAAGCCACGAAGACACGACTCGTCAGGGCATTAGGGTTTCCCATATTCCTCTATGGTGCTGAGACGTGGACCTTGCGAGAGAGTGAGAAAAAGAAGATAGACGCTCTAGAAATGTGGTGCTGGAGGAAAATGCTTGGCATACAGTGGACACAATTCCGAACCAATGCATCCATCCTCCAGGAAGTGTCCATCAAACAAAGTCTGTCTTTCATCGTACAAGGTCGTATTCTAACTTTCTTTGGCTACATCTCACGCCGAGAAGATGCGTCAGTGGAACGACTAGTGGTGCAGGGCAAAGTCGAGGGCGTAAGGGCGTGCGGCAGATCACCAATGCGCTGGACTGACCAGATAAAAGCGGCACTGAACGGTCCACTTCACGAGTGCACGAGAAAGGCCGCAGTGCGGGACGAACGGCGGCGTATTGTGAAGCGCTCCACCAACCCTGATGTGACGACCACGACCACTCTGTCAAGAGTGTAGCGCCGAAGAAGAAGATGTTTGTAACTAAATAAAACTAAAGAAAATATAACTAGAAAAAATTCCACGCGGACCAGGCAGCAGACGGGACTCGAACCCGCACCCTTCGCAATCCGGGCGAATGCACTGACCAATTATGCTACCGCGGCCCTCACGGACCGCGTCGAAATTCCGTCTAGCTATTCTTAAGCTGCAAGGCAGCGCCATCTCTTCGCATTATAGGTAAACCCACAATGTCAAATGAATACTTTTACAAGTATTAAACATTTGAAAGAAGAAATAGCAATTATAGTTATAATGTTTATTATTTTTAAAGCATGTAACTGCTTGATGTTTAAATCTAAAGAAAATATAACTAGAAAAAATTCCACGCGGACCAGGCAGCAGACGGGACTCGAACCCGCACCCTTCGCAATCCGGGCGAATGCACTGACCAATTATGCTACCGCGGCCCTCACGGACCGCGTCGAAATTCCGTCTAGCTATTCTTAAGCTGCAAGGCAGCGCCATCTTTTGCATTATAGGTAAACCCACAATGTCAAATGAATACTTTTACAAGTATTAAACATTTGAAAGAAGAAATAGCAATTATAGTTATAATGTTTATTATTTTTAAAGCATGTAACTGCTTGATGTTTAAATCTAAAGAAAATATAACTAGAAAAAATTCCACGCGGACCAGGCAGCAGACGGGACTCGAACCCGCACCCTTCGCAATCCGGGCGAATGCACTGACCAATTATGCTACCGCGGCCCTCACGGACCGCGTCGAAATTCCGTCTAGCTATTCTTAAGCTGCAAGGCAGCGCCATCTCTTCGCATTATAGGTAAACCCACAATGTCAAATGAATACTTTTACAAGTATTAAACATTTGAAAGAAGAAATAGCAATTATAGTTATAATGTTTATTATTTTTAAAGCATGTAACTGCTTGATGTTTAAATCTAAAGAAAATATAACTAGAAAAAATTCCACGCGGACCAGGCAGCAGACGGGACTCGAACCCGCACCCTTCGCAATCCGGGCGAATGCACTGACCAATTATGCTACCGCGGCCCTCACGGACCGCGTCGAAATTCCGTCTAGCTATTCTTAAGCTGCAAGGCAGCGCCATCTCTTCGCATTATAGGTAAACCCACAATGTCAAATGAATACTTTTACAAGTATTAAACATTTGAAAGAAGAAATAGCAATTATAGTTATAATGTTTATTATTTTTAAAGCATGTAACTGCTTGATGTTTGAATCTAAAGAAAATATAACTAGAAAAAATTCCACGCGGACCAGGCAGCAGACGGGACTCGAACCCGCACCCTTCGCAATCCGGGCGAATGCACTGACCAATTATGCTACCGCGGCCCTCACGGACCGCGTCGAAATTCCGTCTAGCTATTCTTAAGCTGCAAGGCAGCGCCATCTCTTCGCATTATAGGTAAACCCACAATGTCAAATGAATACTTTTACAAGTATTAAACATTTGAAAGAAGAAATAGCAATTATAGTTATAATGTTTATTATTTTTAAAGCATGTAACTGCTTGATGTTTAAATCTAAAGAAAATATAACTAGAAAAAATTGTGGGTTTACCTATAATGCGAAGAGATGGCGCTGCCTTGCAGCTTAAGAATAGCTAGACGGAATTTCGACGCGGTCCGTGAGGGCCGCGGTAGCATAATTGGTCAGTGCATTCGCCCGGATTGCGAAGGGTGCGGGTTCGAGTCCCGTCTGCTGCCTGGTCCGCGTGGAATTTTTTCTAGTTATATTTTCTTTAGATTTAAACATCAAGCAGTTACATGCTTTAAAAATAATAAACATTATAACTATAATTGCTATTTCTTCTTTCAAATGTTTAATACTTGTAAAAGTATTCATTTGACATTGTGGGTTTACCTATAATGCGAAGAGATGGCGCTGCCTTGCAGCTTAAGAATAGCTAGACGGAATTTCGACGCGGTCCGTGAGGGCCGCGGTAGCATAATTGGTCAGTGCATTCGCCCGGATTGCGAAGGGTGCGGGTTCGAGTCCCGTCTGCTGCCTGGTCCGCGTGGAATTTTTTCTAGTTATATTTTCTTTAGATTTAAACATCAAGCAGTTACATGCTTTAAAAATAATAAACATTATAACTATAATTGCTATTTCTTCTTTCAAATGTTTAATACTTGTAAAAGTATTCATTTGACATTGTGGGTTTACCTATAATGCGAAGAGATGGCGCTGCCTTGCAGCTTAAGAATAGCTAGACGGAATTTCGACGCGGTCCGTGAGGGCCGCGGTAGCATAATTGGTCAGTGCATTCGCCCGGATTGCGAAGGGTGCGGGTTCGAGTCCCGTCTGCTGCCTGGTCCGCGTGGAATTTTTTCTAGTTATATTTTCTTTAGATTTAAACATCAAGCAGTTACATGCTTTAAAAATAATAAACATTATAAATAAAACTAGTTTTTACGGGTTAATGCACGAAACTTTATTTTTTTATTGACGTTTCGTAAATAAATAAAGTTTCGTGCATTAACCCGTAAAAACTAGTTTTATTTAATGAGTGGTGTGCGTGAAACCCTAAGAACAAATATGTTTGTAACTTCTTTTCGCCTAAACGGCTGGAGCGATTTGAATAGTTAATGGTACGGAGTTAGCTGACACCCTGGATTAACACATAGGCTAAGTTTTACTGTGGGAAAATACAAATAATAAACCGCGGATAACACCGCGGGGCACAGCTAGTGTAATATAATTACTTACCAATAGTTATTGCGATCACTACCGTCCATAAGGCACGATCTCTTCTGCTGCTAACCATTTTGTTATCTGGAACAATTAAATATAACATATTTATGAACTGTACGGTTCAATAAACGGCACAATATAATTATAATTATTTCGCATTATTATTATTTTCATTATTTTGCAGCATTACATTTTTGGTTTGGTTTGTCGAGTCTAGAACGCGACGCATCAGTCTACGTTTCAACCGCGACTCAGAAATACCATATAAGTTTCGTATGCTAATAAACGGTATCTCAGTAAAATCCATTTTGTTTTCTTGTACGTACACACATCCTGTACATTAACATTATTTTTTCAAATTACTGTTATCACTACCCCTCGTTTCCACCAAAAAATAAGTCATATACTAGTTTCTACCAAAACTTATAGAATAGTTGTTGTGGCCGTTTAAAACATTCTTTCGTTTGCACTGGTTTTGTTTATTTTTTGTTTCTTAATCTGTTTTTTTATTTGTTTGGTAGGTGAAAGTTTATGTTCTGGGAAAGAACATAGTTTTAATCATTTTTTCATCCTAAAGAGTGGTCCCTTTAAAGTGGTTTGAATAGCAAAAACTAATTTTCCAACTACAGACAATAATCTATAAAATATGTCCAAATCATGCTTATAATCTCTTTTGTATGTTATTTTTTTTTTTAATATTAAATCTGCAATAAAAACGACGTGTTGCACTCCGGGAGTGCCGGCAGAAGTGAAAACTTGAATATTAACGTTGTGCATTTTTGATATTTTGGAATGGTTAGGGTAGGGTAATGGTAGAGTAATTTTTGCTTTAATTTTATCAGTATAAAAAGAACTATCATTTATGTGGAGAATACAATATTTATTTATTGCGCTATCGTACACAAACATGACAATTTATATTACATTAAAAAGTTTATCTCTCAGAAAAATCAACTTACATGAATCACATTTAAGCGCACCTAGCGACATCTATTGTAAAAAAGTGCATTTTCTTCGCAATAAAGCTGCCACCTGGACGTCTTAAATAGAGACTTATTATTATAATACGTTAAAATACAATATTACTATGTTTCGTCCAATATATTGAAAGTCAACAACCTTTCCAATTTTATTGTTTTCGTCTTACGAATTTTCGATTAGGTCACGTGTCCTGACGCGATCAGGTCACGTGTCCTGATGCGAGTTTAACATTTCTTACCCATTACAAAAAAAGTGTACAACGCCGCTAAAGAAGTTTTCACTTCAAAAATGTGCAAGGCGAAAATATTACTAGCCTTCAAGTAGGTCAAAAACCGACTTCTTTATTGTGAGAATTACATTAGTTATAACAGCTTTAACATGCAAAATTATCATAATCTTTCCTTGCAGAATTTAATAAATCACTGTTATGAGTTTCTTGAACTCATGTTGAATTCCGATTTCGGGGAAACTTTGAGGGGACGGTATAATTATAAAAAAAAACCGGCCAAGTGCGAGTGGGACTCGCGCGTGAAAGGTTCCGTACAATTAAAGAATTAAACATTTTTTTTACAATAAAAATGTTTAAAAAGTGCAAAAAAATATTAAAAAGCTATTTTATTTGAAAGCTGACATAGATGAGATGGGTCCTCAGGTATAATTTATGCAGATCTGTTTAGGGGTTTAGAGTTCATTACCTCATTTCCCATTTGAGCAAGGGTTCTTATTAATTTCACGGTTGCTTCATTCACTTTTGCTTTTCAAGATATGGTAATGATGATGGTATGAGATAACGCAGCCTCAGGTACTCAACTCCTCAGCTACTTACAGCATATGTAGCGCGTTTGGGCTCATAGGAATGGTCTCGTTGAACAAATGACTACGAAGCATTGTTTTGAGTGTGTCTTCCAGTAATTTAAAACAAAAGAAATAAAAATGAAATTGGAAATTTAATGAACCCTTGACCCAAAAATAATTAAAGAGTGAGAAAATAAAATGAGTTGGCCCTTTAACTTGAATTTACTTGGTAATAGCAAGACCCAGACATCGTCAAATCGGGGGACTGAAATAAGTGGAAGAACCATACAAAAAATAGTGTGACGGACCACACAAAATTTAAAAAAACATAAATAACGAAATATATCATGCATGCCTATCAATTGGAACAGTTTAACAAAAGCTAATAAATTCAATGAACAATGTCAATAATATCAATTAAATCAAATTTATTCCATCATGTCAAATTATATTAATAAATAATACATTACTTCAAAATAACATAAAATTAAATTCGGTAATATAAAAACAATAAAATTAATATAACAATAAGCCATTAAAAAAAATTATAGGTATATAAAAAAAAAGTATTACAATTTATTTAAGTAGTCCGACGCAAAATAATAACATTTATTGACTAACCATTAAAAACAATTTACTTTAAAATCTATAAGTAAAAAAAGTCCGGTCCGAAAAAAGTTTCGGTTCAAAAAGTTTTCGCATTTGAATATCAATTTCTTTACCAGTTACTAAGTATTTATAAGATTATTTTTAAGTCGGGCGTTTTTTAAGTTCCCAATTTATTTATTTTATTTATTCTTTATGCACAAATGTACAATGGCGGACTTAATGCCGTAGGCATTCTCTACCAGTCAACCATAGGATGTTGTGGATATTATTAGTGGTAGGGTGCACAACTGAAGTGGAAATCACATTGAAGTTTATAAAAATAATAAATATAAATAAATTAATAATTTATTGTTTAACTTAAATCTGTAGTACGACAGTAAATATTAAACCTTCACTAAAAGATTGTCATGCACATTAAAAAGTCCTTGTAACGTGTATTGCAATAATGGCTTAGATAAGATTTAATAGAAGGCGCGACCTCAAAAAAAGGTGCCATCAAAAAGATGCCGGTCGCACGATTGAAGCTTGATGCATCACTGCGTAGCGTTGAATGACCTCAGGAGGTTATTCTGTACACTACCGTGCAGCTATATTTATTAATTGAGGCCGCCCGATACTTCGTCCGCGTTCACTTTAGGCATTGTCCTAATACAACGCGATAACGCGATCATCGCGCGTTTAAACGATGCGACCATCGCGTGATCGTGAACTGGGTGTCCTAATAGAACGCGAATACGGAACGGGTTAGCCCTGCCCCTCTCCCCGCTTCCTATCGACGCGACGCGATCATCGCGCGAACTTCAGTTAAGACACCTATTCATCATTAATAGGTTTGATTGCGCGTTCACGCGAACGAAGTTAGCGTGAATAGATATTTAAACATTTTAGTCGCGCGAATGCATCGCGCGATCGCCTATTACGACACCTATTCTAGATCAATATGTTTGATCGCCGACTCGTACGATGATCGCATCGCTCATTCGCGTTATCGCGTTGTATTAGGACAATGCCTTAGTTTTTGAAGTGATAACTTCTTTTGGCTTCGCTACGTAGCGCGTTACGGCGCCAGTCTGTCTGGCTTCCCTTCCTCTCCAGCCATACACGCTAGGGTTTATCTGACAAGTTTACCTGTACAGTTTAACTGTACAGGTAAACCGGAGCGTGTATGTCACATAACTGCGCAGGCTTCCACACCTGTACAGGCAACTCGAAAACATATGAATATTGATATTTTCTACCTGTGCAGTTTAACTGTGCAGGTAAAACTGAGCGTGTGTGGTGGTCGTCTGCGCAGGCGTCAGTTGTCCGGTGATTGTTAGAGGGGATGGACGCGCGGCGCTCTACTGTATAAGTACAAAATGATGTCTCGTAAACGGAACTAGGTCCTGGAGGAGTTTATAGAAATGTATAAATCGGAGTATTGTTTTGGCCCATAAAATGTTCTCCCTGTTGCAAGGTATCTTACGTCACTGTCAATCTTAGATGAGACGATATAGCTTTTGTCGTTATTGTATCCTGCTTCTCAATTAAGGGAGTCACTTCTAATAACAGTTAAAGATACGTTTTTTCATCCATTCGTAGATAATTGCGGTAATCTGTTGGCTTAAATTTCAATTGAGTCTGTAAATTAACAGGAGAGTACTGTTTCTTTGCAGTAACCATGCTTTGCTGCACTGTTCACGGTATCTTCGTTTAAATTTTATATTTTTAAATAAAACAAGCAATATAACCTAAAAACGCAACTGTGTTGAAATCAAGCCCCGCTGCCGGGGTCATGTTTTCAACTGAACTATTAAACTCATGTTTACCTGTGCAGTTGAACTGTACAGGTACACCTGTCAGGTATACCCTAGCGTGTATGGCTTGCTTACGGCAGTGGTAGGCAGGCTCCTCTTCTCTCACTTTAACCCGCAGCGCCGCTTAGATTAGTTTAAGTTATCACTGCTATCGTGCGTGTCGAGGTGAACACGCTTTTTTTGATATCTCAATCCAGGTCATAAACTATATGCGTGCTAAATTTCAGCCAACTACGTTCAGTGGTTTTTGCATGATTGAGTAACAAACGTATATACTTTCACGTTTATATTATAAGAGTCTGTACGGAAAGAGAATGGGCGTGGCGAAAAACAGAACTAACATTAAGATTTTTATTTGGCAATCAAACCCAGCAATCTGTAAAACGTCAAAGGTTTGTATTGATACGGATTTGTTTGTTGTTGTGATTTCGTGCGGTTTTTTTGTATTTAATCATGTTTAAAAGGGGTGAGCCTAGCCTGACCTAATTCTGAAACCAGTTGAGCCCTGGCCTTGAACCTTACTTACCCTACTGTGGTCTGTAACGTGGCGATTACTTCCCCAGACAGGTGCTCCAATACAAACTAACGCAATCTTTATAAACGACACTTAGACGTACGAGAAAGATAACAAGTGAATTCTGGGTCACTCCCTGCTATAATTACATTTTAAATACTTAAATGTTACTTTTTTAAATTGTCGTTTCTTTATTATCATAACATAACTGTAACTATGACGAGTAAAGTATTACATGTTAATTTTGACTTGGACAAAACTTACCAAAACTATTTAAAAAAAACATGTACAAAGCGATATCGGTGCAGAATCGTTTGAAAATGGCATCGCAAATTCGTAATACATACCTTCGTCTGCACAGATGAGTTGATGTGTGTCAATGACGT